AGAGAGCTGATTGGGGAAAATAATCTTAGGATTTATTACCAGCAAGATAAAAAAACTAAAGAGCTGCAACTGCAACAATTCTAATCAGGTAAAAGTGCGATGTATTTACAGAAATAAATCTGTAAATAATCTGCCCCTCTCCCTTTTGGATCAGTTCAGGAGGAGTAACAGCCTCTCTCTTGCCATTTTCGGAGCTCCAGGTCTTGTAAATAACTTTGCAGCCCTCGAAAGTCCCTGTAAATTGCTGACTGGTGGTTTTGTAATCCCCTCGAAGCCTATAAATGTCCATACCCAAAACAGTTAAGAGTTGGTGAAAGGAAGGTAAACACGGAAAGCTCAGACGGGAAGAGCGTGGAATCCCATCTTTTTGCTTATTATTGAGTGTTTTTTCCAAGCCCTCAATCCCTTCCCATCCCAGCCCTCCCAAGGGGATGAAGGGACACCCAAGCAGGACACTGGATGGCCTCAACCTCTCCCTCCAGGCACCCACCAGGATGAACATCCCAAAACTCACCTCTTTTCCCGGCGCTCCAGACGCTCCCACGGGCCCCGTGGCTCCGGTCCGGCCTCTCCTGCCACGTTCCCCCTGGAAAATGAGAGCCCTTGGAGAGGAGGGAAAGGTCCTGCTTTATCCCAGGCAGATTAAAAGCAGATCAAAGTGTTCTGGGGGGTCCCCCCAAGGAGGAGGGTCCCTCGAGGAGAGGGAATTCCAGCTCCCCCAAGAAGGGGAGTCCCTCAATGAGAGGGAATTCGAGCCTCATCCATCGCTCCCTCTGTCCCTGAGGGTTCCTCATCCCAACCCCACGCAATTAATTCCATGTGAAAGATGGTAAATGAATCATTAAATTGAAAAGATTGAAACCCAAGGACTCGGTTGGAGCTCCACTGCTTTTTATCTTGAGAGACATTTTTGGGCCTTTATTTCGGCTTTTATTTCCTTTATTTCATCCAACTGACACGTTTTCCAAGGGTTTGTTCCTGGTTTTCCTCACTTTTTATGGATTCAGGGTCTGGAGAGCTGGATAAGGGAGGGCTCAGCCCGGAGGGGACGATCTCAGCAGGGCCACTGTCACCCCCCTGAGGTGACAAACACAGCCCGCGGTGTCCCCTCACCTTCTGTCCCGGCATTCCAGGCAATCCTGGAGCCCCCCTGTCCCCCTGGGATCCGGGAATTCCGACGGTGCCACGGATGCCCTGGATGCCCTGAGCTCCTGGGTGTCCCGGCGCTCCCGGCTCGCCCTGTGGAGGGAATTCCCGGGGAATTTGGGGATTAGGGGGGATCAAGTGTCCCTCTAAAGGTGCTAGAGGAGCCTGAGGTGGCTCCGTGAGCTCATGTGACACCAGTTTGGGACAACCCTTCCAGTCCTGGCCCAGAAGGGAAGACCCAAACCCTGCAGACCTTCAGGAGAACCCAAACCTTTCCTTTATCTTCCTTTCTCTCTCTCTTTCTTTTTCTCTCTTTCTTTTTCTCTTTTTCTCTCTTTTTCTCTATTTCTTTTTTCCTCTTTTTATCTTTTTTCTCTTTTTCTCTCTTTCTTTTTTCTCTCTTTTTCTCTCTTTTTTCTCTCTTTTTATCTCTTTTTTTTTTCCTCTTTTTTCTCTCTTTTTCTCTTTCTTTTTTTCTCTCTTTTTCTCTCTTTTTTCTCTCTTTTTCTCTCTTTTTTCTCTCTTTTTCTCTTTCTTTTTTCTCTCTTTTTCTCTTTCTTTTTTCTCTCTTTTTCTCTTTCTTTTTTCTCTCTTTTTCTCTTTCTTTTTTTCTCTCTTTTTTTCTCTCTTTTTTCTCTCTTTTTCTCTCTTTTTTCTCTCTTTTCTCTCTTTTTTCTCTCTTTTTATCTCTTTCTTTTTTCCTCTTTTTTTCTCTCTTTTTCTCTTTCTTTTTTCTCTCTTTTTCTCTCTTTTTTCTCTCTTTTTATCTTTCTTTTTTTCTCTTTCTCTCTTTTTCTCTTTTTCTCTCTTTTTTTTCTCTCTTTTTCTCTTTCTCTCTTTCTTTTTTTTCTCTCTTTTTCTCTTTCCTTTTCTTTCTTTCTTTTTCTTTCTTTTTCTCTCTTTCTTTCCTTTTCTCTCTCTCTTTCTTTTCCTCTTTTTCCCTCTTTCCTTTTCTCTATTTCTCTTTCTTTCTTTCTTTCTTTTCTTTCTTTCTTTTTCTTTCTTTCTTTTTTTCTTTCTTTTTTTCTTTCTTTCTTTCTTTCTTTCTTTCTTTCTTTCTTTCTTTCTTTCTTTCTTTCTTTCTTTCTTTCTTTCTTTCTTTCTTTCTTTCTTTCTTTCTTTCTTTCTTTCTTTCTTTCTTTCTTTCTTTCTTTCTTTCTCTCTTTCTCTCTTTCTCTCTTTCTCTCTTTCTCTCTTTCTCCCTCCCTCCCTCCCTCCCTTCCTTCTTTTTCCAAACCCAAACCCTGCAGACCTTCAGAGGGGAACCCAAACTCTTCAGCATCCCAAGGGATCTCTGGAACTCCTTTCTGCTGAGCCCACAATTCCCTGGATCTTGTTTCCAGCTGAGGATTTTCCTGCTCATTGACAACCTCGAAATGTCCCTCCCAGCCCCAACCATTCCATGATTCCATGAGATTTATCCTTAGGACCTTCACGCTTTGAAGTGGCCCTTTGGAGGATGCAGAGAATTCCCTGGATCCCAACCCCGTGGAATGCTGTTCCCAGCAGTGGAAAACAAAGATTAGAGAGGGACAAATCCCATAGAAAAACCCTCCAAGTGAAATCCCACCTGGAAGAGAAGAACTTCCCACCTTAAATCCAGGTGGTCCAGCCTGACCTACAGGACCTCTGAACCCAATTCCTGGTTCTCCCTGTGGAAAAAAGGGGAGGAAAACCGAAAAAAAAAAAAATTGGGATTAGTCCTTCCACTGTGGGGCCATTCCAAGGAAATGACAATTCCAGAGTGGATCCCGAGGGATCCCAAAGCACCCTCAGCTCAGGAGGGACACTGGGATGAGGGGGGAAAAAAGGGATGTGGGAAAAGGAGAGGAGGGGAAAAGGGATGTGGGAAAAGAAAAGGGGGAAAAAAGGGATATGATGGGAAAAGAAGGAGGAAAAAAGGGATTTGGGAAAGGAGAGGAGGAAAAAAGGGATGTGGGAAAAGCAGAGGAGGAAAAAAGGGATACAGGGAAAGGAGAGCAGGAGGGAAGTTCCCAAGGGAAGAGCCGTCCCTGTGGCTCCAAATCCATCCTTTACCTTCCGACCTCCTTCCCCTCGGTCCCCTCTGGAGCCCTGGGAAAAAAAAGTGGGAATCACCACCCGGGGCTCTGTCCCCACCCAGAGCCACACAATTCCCGGGAAAGGGATGGAACTCCGTGGGGAAAACCCAGGGAATCTGAGTTTTCCCGTGGCAACAACCTCGGAGCTGGAATTGGGGCCCCCTGGGCTGGGAATGTCGGGATGGCAATCCCAGAACTCACCTTCAATCCGGCTTCTCCCACCTCTCCAGGCTGGCCCTGCCAGGCAAAATCCAGTCCTTTTTCCGGAAAATTCTTGTCCCTCCCTCCTTCCCTTTCCCTCCTTCCCTCCCTCCAAGGGGATTGATCCAACCTTCGGGATTGGGAAGAGGTGCAGGAATAAAAGTTGGGAATGTGGCAATCCCAATTTCCATTGACACCTCCCCCCCCCCCTCATCAGGACATTCCATCTGCCTCTCCCTTTTCCAGAGCCTTCCCAGCACAGGGAATCCCGGGAAAAGCCCCATCCCTACCTTCTCTCCTTTGTCTCCCCGCATTCCAGGAGCTCCCATTTCTCCCTGGAAAACAGCAGGAATTCCCTTCATCCACCAACAAGCATTCCCAGGGGAATCCTTCCTTCCTTTCCCTCTCCCAGTTTTATTATCTCCTCCATTTATTACATATTTCCATTGATCACATATTTATATGAATTTATATTTGTCATCTATTTCTATTTATCCTATATTTCTATTTATTACGTACTTATATTTTGTCCTAGATTTGTATAAATTTAAGTTTATCCCACATTTCTATTTATTAGATATTTCTATTTCTACTTATCGTGTATTGATATAAATTTACATAAATCATATATTTCTATTTATTAGATATTTCTAATTATCATATAGTTATATGAAATGATATTTATCCTATATTTATATTTATTACATATTTCTATTTACCATATATTGATATAAATTTCTATTTAGCCCATATTTCTATTTATTATATTTCTACTTATAATAGACTTCTATTTATCAAATATTTATAGGAATTTAAATGTATCATATATTTCTATTTCTATTTACAATATACTTTTATTTACCAGATATTTATATGAATATATATTTATCCCATATTTCTATTTCTAATATATTTCCATTTATATTTCTATTTATCCCATATTTCTATGAATGTATATTTATGATATACTTCTATTTACAGTATATTTTTTACAATATATTTTTATTTATCTGGTATTTATATGAATTTACATTTATCCCATATTTCTATTTATTATATATTTCCATTTATTATAGATTCTATTTACCAGATATTTATATGAATTTATATGTGTCATATATTTATATTTATGATATATTTCTATTTACAATATATTTTTATTTACCATATATTGAAATAAATTTCTATTTATCCCATACTGCTATTTATCATATATTTCTATGTATCATATATTTGCATAAATTTATATTTACCCCATATTTATATCACAGAATTCTATTTATCATATATTGTTATTAACCATATATTCATATAAGTTTCTATGTATCCCATATTTCTATTTATTATATATTTCCATTTATAACAGGTTTCTATTTATCACAGAGTTATATGAATTTATATGTGTCCTATATTTACATTTATGATATATTTCTATTTACAATATACTTTTATTTACCAGATATTTATATGAACTTATACTTATCCCATATTTCTATTTATTATGTATTTCCATTTATATTTCTATTTATCACATAGTTATATGAATTTATATTTATCTATATTCCTATTTATGATATATTTTTATTCACAATATATTTTTATTTAACATATATTTATATAAATTTCTATTATCCCATCTTCCTATTTATTATATATTTCCATTTCTTATATAATTCTTATCTCATATTTCTAAGAATCTATATTGATATATTCCTATTTATAATATATTTTTAAATACAATGTATTTTTATTTACCATATATTTATATAAATTTCTATTTATCCCATATTTCGATTTCTCCTCAATTTTTATTTTTCCAATATTTCTGTCAATGTCTCTTTCTCCTCAATTTCCAAGGATGTAAATTGATAATTGACAATAATTGTGTAACCAAAGCACTGACCTTTGGACCCCGGGGTGGGGGAGGGGCGGGGCCACTTCCATCCATCTGCAACGGAAACACCGGGATGGGATGGGAATTATGGGATGGGATATTATGGGATGGGATGGG